GAAATTATTGCGGAGAAAGCAGTATAGGTTTGGAATATTCGAATGCAGTCGTGGTACTACTTACCCTGTCCTTCGCCATTGATTTTACTTACTAATTCTGCTATTACTTCTGCTGGTCCACCAGGAAGTTCATAAGGGGAGGCTAAAAGCTTTTCTAAGGTTAGCTTAAGGAAGGATATGCCATTAACTTCTTGTTTACGAAGAATATCGAAATGTTTATCCTTAAGTCCTAAGTCTTGTTTGTGCAAAAAATTTATTAGTTCTTCTGTTTCCTTCCATTCTTCTACTTCATTGACTGTAGGAAGCGGAACTTTTTCTCTGGCAGTAAACATAGTTATTTACGTAGTTGGTTTTTTGATAGGACGAAAAAATTTTTTTAGTAAGAAATAGTCGTACATTCTACCTTTTTATAGTTTATACAAACAATCAGATTGTTGTACAACAGGTCACGTATTGTTACACATAAAATGACAATACCGATATTGTATTTTTTCTACGAACAGTATAGTGATAGATGAAACTAGTGACGTAAATAAATCTGCATCTATAAAAAGTAAGAATTTTTTATTCGAATTTGCGTATGAAAAAATATTTATTCCTGAAGAGGTGTGACATCGATGTCACAGCAAGGTTACATGAATTCCAAAACTATTACAGAGTTGATCGTCACGTTTCGTGACGGAAATTTATTTACAGTAGTAATTATTATTCAAGGATATAAAGGAACTTGAAACTATTATGAAATAGTGAAGCTTTCGCTTACCTCTTCTTCTCTTTTAAAATTATCACATTCACATTGCCTATATATGCCAACTGCTACTTTTTTGCACGTTTTACCATATAGGTGTGAATGATGATTGCATTCATTACAAATCTTATATCCATACTTCCACTCTCTAAAGATATATCACTTTTCTTTATGTGCATATATGTTATTCAGATTTTTCATTAACAGAAAAAATAATACATATACGTGACAAAATTTTTATTTGTAAGTGTATTATGTTTTTTTATTGTTATATATTAATGGAAAAAATAGCTTGACTAGTCAAGTTTCGAAGAAATATATATGTGATCGACATTTATTATAGAAACCTGTAATGTGTGACAGTTGTATTTGTGATCCATTTACAAACAAATTATGCATAAGCCAGGCCAGGGTTATAACTTTAGATTTTTCTTTATGTAGTGAAGGTACATAAGTGTCACGTATTAATTTATTACATAAAAAAATATAACAGATAAGTTAAAACTGATAAATTATTACATGTTGATCTAAATTCAATACATGACGCAGTAATTATATGATTGTGATCTCCAAGATCACGTTCACGTGACTTATACGAATGATTCTGTTGGGATTTTATCTGAAATTTAAGATATTACATGGTTAATTTGATCTATGATTAATTTAGCAATTGTTAATGCACTAAAAGATTTTACCCACTCTATCTTACTTGTTTCTATCTTACTAAATATATGAAAAATCTTTTGAACTCTTTCTTTTCTTTTCCGAATAGTAATTTCAGAAGTATCATCAGGAAGTTGTTTTTCGATTTCTTTTTTAACTTCACTATTAGTGTCATTTATATTATATGATTTTTCATAATAGAACTTGAAGCGTTTTGCTATATCTAATCCAAAATTATAATACTGGATAATTATATTCTGGTTTAGTTTTTGAATTTCACTTTCAGCAGAGGTAATTTTAGTATATAAATTTAAAAAGTTGATAGATAGTGGATCAGTTTCGATAGCTGTTACTGGATAAGAAGTTATTATATCTGTATTTTGTTCAGAGATGTTGGATATTAATTCTATAATAAGTTTTTTTACAGTATTAGAATCTTTTTTATTGCCTTTTTCTTTATTCTGTTTTGATTTTTTACTGAATGATTTATTTTTAGTGATATCTTTACTAAAGATGGCGAGGTAACTGTTGCAACGTGGTGACAAATAAAGCATCACCTAGTTGCAACTAGTTGCGGCTTATAAAATTTTGGAGTTGCAACATGTTGCAATGGGTGACAAATAAGCATTACGTACTTGCTGCGCCATCTCTAATCTTTACTAGGTCTTTTTTGAGCCTGCTTTGTATAGTCTGGATATAATGAAAGATGTGATAAGTCAGAGTTAGAAACATGAAGTGCCATTGCTTCTGAGATTATTGTATCCTGGCTCTGTCCAGATACTATTTGTAGCAAAATTTGCATTAGATTAGTGATACTTGGTGTATTAACAATAGACTCAATTTCTATTGCACATTTTGAGCATTGTGAAAAATCTTTTACATAATGCTTAAAACAATTATAGTAAAATATATGACCACAAGTAAGTATGGTAAATGATTTTTTAATTTCATACAAAAAAAGCTCTTGATTGCATTTTGAGCATGAGTCAATTTCTGAAATTTCAACATTTTTTGCAATAACATCTGGAGAGCCATTATTAAGGATATTTAAGGTGAGAGTTTTGAAACATGAAATATTTTTGGAGGTTGGATCAATAAACATATTCAAAGGTAAAAAATTTTTCACAATTAAAGAATTAGTATATGTTATTAAGAGTTATAGACAGATAAGTTTTGCATAACAAAATTTCTTACACTTAGCTTATTTATATAGTTTATTCCTCATAACTAACAAACCTAATTTGCAGATTTTATTAAACTAATTTCGAATTTGGTGATTCGTTTATTCATGAATTATTTAGTATGAGGGGATTGCTCGATATTTGCTAGCAATTGTGGATAAAAAATTTAGCTTAAGGGTAAGTGCAATTAGTGAGTTGGTTAGCATATATATGTCAAAAAAAAAACAAAAAATCTTAGCATCGAATCAAAACATCAAAAAAATAATTGATGTAAGTTTATATATTTATATTTATAAATATTGCTACCGTTTCTAGTTCTTACGTATGAGAATATTTAGAAATGGTTAACAGTGACTGTGTTCACAGCAGATTTTAAATAAGAGAGATATAAATGACGAAAGTGGATGGTTGACAATAATAAATTAATAAGAATACGAGTATA